AGCTGTATGGATTCCTTTTCAATGATTTCCTGCTGCTCACCTACATGGTTAAACAGTTTGTGTCTTCTGGATCTGATAAACTGTTCAGCCCCAAATCCAACTCCCAGTTCAAAATGTACAAAATGGTGAGTCAAGGTGCTCCGTGGTCATGTTGGTGCAGTGGGTCCTGGCTTCTGATGAGGAATGCTGCTCTCCCACTGGGATTAGCTGTGTGTCCCCTTTTGCTGGCACATGGGCACGTTCTGGCAGATAACTTGCACAAATGACATTGGCTTAGTACCCAGTAAAGGACTAATCAAGATTTCTGCATCTTGGTTTAACAAACACTTCCATCTGCTTTGGGGGGAAAGGGCAGAAGTAGCATTGTGCCTGAACAGCAGAATGGGATGTTCAGAAGCAGGACCTTGACTTCCATTTGCAGAGCTTCCTGCATCCTCAAGAAAATTCCTGTCCTTCAGAAAACAGTAGAAGGTGCAAAATTTTAGTGTCTGTGCCCATAATAGTGTGTGTTCTCAAGATTCTGAAACTGGAGACATAAATTTAAGTATCAGGGCTGCTTTCCCACAGAGAACCTGAGAGATTCCTGGATTTCCGAGCTCCTCACTGCAGCTCTTGAACACTCCTGCCCCTTTCACAAAGCACTTTGCCTAGGAAAACTGAATGGGGTGAATCACCAGAGTAGTTTTTCTCTCAGCCCTTTCTTGCATCCTTTATAGAGTGATCTCATAGTTTGTCCTGTGTCCTATGACTTTCATTTTCCCAACAGTAAAACAGTGTATTTAAACATGCTTCTAGAGTTCTGCCTATTGTCACAGGGTGATGCTGCCACAGTGACATTTGCTTCTCTTTCAGCCCGTTTTCCTTAATGAAGTCCTTGTGAAGCTTCCCACAGACCCTTCAAGTGATGAGCCAGTTTTTCACATATCACACATTGACAGAGTTTACACACTTAAAACTGACAACATTAATGAGCGGTGAGTAGTGAAAATGCAAATCTGAGCTCAAACTTGTTCATTGATGCTGCAGACACAGGGGCTCTGAGCTCAAGAACAGCTGTCTCTTGGTCAGGAAATAAACTGACTTGACTCTCATTTGAATGAGAAGTTTTCTCTGATTTTGTTCTGCTTCTGCAGCAGCTCTCGCAGTGGCATCCAGCCACATATCCAAATCTTCCCCAGTCCTGGGCAGTCTTTAATGTGACCCACCAGTCTTTAATAAAACAACAGCTCCACATCCATTTATTTAGGCTGATTTGGATTGTGGCATAAGATTAAATCCAAAAACTCCATCACCTTAGTCCAGGAACTGACTTGATTTGTGGCAAAGTCACTGAAGATTTTGCTGCCTGTGGGATGACCCTGACTCTAGGGATTGCTCTTTGCAGGACTGCCTGGGTCCAGAAAATCAAAGCGGCGTCAGAGCAATACATTGAAACGGAGAAGAAGAAACGTGAAAAGGCTTATCAAGGTACCCACCAAGTTCTGTATTTCCCTTTCATCCACCTGGATACAGGGACAGGGCATTTCCTGAAGGATGCCAGTGTCTCCTTCTTCAGATCTACTGCCAGTTATTACAGTTCCAACCAATCTGTTTATTCCTGACCTCTTTGTTCCCAGCTCGTTCACAGAAAACCTCAGGAATAGGACGCTTGATGGTGCACGTGATTGAAGCAACGGAACTAAAGGCCTGTAAGCCCAATGGTAAGTGAGGGAAACAGTCTCAGTGCACTTTTATTCCTGTAACGTTTGGAAAGGCTTGCTAAAAGGAGTTGGTCATATGGGAAACACTGGTTTGTCTACAGTTTCTGTATGAAATACGCATTCTTTAGCTTCAGAGGACCAAATTAAAACCAGCTCTGTGCTGCTCTGGAGTACAGGGATTGCCTGATCCACACTTTGTGGCAGCAGCATTGATGTGTGTCCAAGGAGGCTCCAGATGGAGGGGGTGGTTCTGCACTGCAGAGGGGTTTCATTCCCTGTTCTGTGTTTAGGGAAGAGCAACCCATACTGTGAGATCAGCATGGGCTCACAGAGCTACACTACCAGGACCCTGCAGGACACCCTGAACCCCAAGTGGAACTTCAACTGCCAGTTCTTCATCAAGGATCTGTATCAGGATGTCCTGTGTATCACCATGTTTGACAGGGATCAGTTCTCACCTGATGGTAAGTGTGAATATTTAGGCAAAGAATGCTTTTTTGTTAACTGAGGTACCCAGTTCCTCAGCAGCAGTTTCAAGAGCCTGTAGGTCTGACTGCTGCCTGAGAAAGGTTGGGTAAGCACAATGCCTCAGTACTCAGGAGGTTCAGTAGCCTTCCAGAGCCAGTAACACTGCACAGTCACATTTGATCCCAGTCTGGCTTTTTGTATCAGACGCAGAATTATTTTCTTGTCAGACTGAGGAGACAGACAAGTTGAAAGCAGAAGTTCTACTCACAATAAGTGCTCAAAAATAAGATCCTGGGTTATATTTTCACAGCAACAGCTTGATCAGTTTTCTTGTTGCTTGGAAACTGAGCACGTTTTTGGCAGTCAGTTACTTCTCATATTCTCTAAAAGGTTAGGTGCTTTTTCAGGGCTCTGACACAGTCAGTTATTGCACGTTTGCAGGGAACTGCCTTGACCAGAGATGCTTTCTGTGTAGCTCAGTCTTCTTTCCTATGAGTTAATGTGAGTTTGGCTGGCTGCTTCTCCCAGCTGGTCAGCTGAGTCTTGTTTTTCAGTCCATGGTGAATGCCTTTGAGCACCTCAGCTGATTTGTAAACAAGTTCCATCACCTAACTGACCAGCCAGCTCTGAAACTGAAAAACACTTGAAATTGTGTTTCTGAAAGTGTATTTTCTAAGAGAATTTCTAAACCCTTAGCTCAAACTGTGACATCCTAATTCCACAGCATTGTTCTCTTCTAAAAAAGCCCTCTGTTGTCACTGCTTGCTGGTTTACACAGGACTGGGGTCCAATCCAACTGGAAGCCTGGGAGCACTGCTCTGAACTGAGCATATACCCCACAGCACTGCATTAACCTGACTCACTCCGATTTTCTGAGGTCAATATCTCTTCCTAATGAAATTTCTTATTCATTTGCCCAACAGATTTTTTGGGTCGCACTGAAGTTCCAGTAGCAAAAATCAGAACAGAACAAGAGAGCAAAGGCCCCACAACTAAACACTTACTGCTGCATGAAGTTCCAACAGGAGAAGTGTGGGTGCGCTTTGACCTGCAGCTGTTTGATCAGAAAACACTCCCCTAAGAACACTTTTTTTTTAATTCATGAAGGACAACTGAAGCTAACAGCCTGAACAGCTTTTGGTAAAAGATTTTTTTGTCCCATGCTGCTTATTAAGCAAGAATTCCTGCTGCTTCTGTATTTCCTCTTAGTTCCTGGTTGCGCTTAGTTCCTTGCAGTGTTCCAAGTTGTTGTTGATCTATGCAAACACAAATGTTACTGTAAATACAGTACTATAGCTCAGTGCCTTTTTATTATGTTGGAATTTCTTGGGTTTGGATGCCAATGTTTCCATTTTCAGGGCCATAAAAAGTATTACACAGAAATGTGGCACCAAGCTGTTTGTATATTTTACCACTTAGTCTGACAGACAGACTGAGGAATGGTTTAAGCTCAGCACTAGAATCATTCCATTTGAAATCTTAAAAGTGATATCCACTGGAATTTCCCCATCTCAGGATGATAGTTTTAACGGTTAAATGCTGAAGAAGCCTTAGCACTGGAGAAGTCTCCAATATATTGTATATTCTTTTAAGAATCAAGTGTAGTTCTTTACTTGACTTTAGTTTTGCACTGGAATCAGTAACTGCTACTTGATTTTTCTTTTTGCTTCAATTTGATTTATCATTCTTTGCTGAGACAATGTGGTTGTGAAGAATAACTAGAAAAAAATATTTTAAATACTGTGACCCACAACAATGTGGCAAAACACTCTTCAGCTCTTTGGGTTTTTTCCTAAATATAAGTTATTTGTGTACATTTCCTTGGTCTTCCAGACCTCCATGTGAATCTTGAAGCTTTGACATTGCCAACATGTATATAGAGAGTAAAATATAAGTTTATTAATTTGTCTACAGATGTTTATTGATGCATAGTGATTTTTAAAAAGTATATTTTATTGTACAGGGGAATGTGAAACAATGAGATAAACTTACAGGATTTGTTCAAGGAAAGTTTATTACAAGTTTAAAAGGTTTGCTCTGGGGAACTGTCACCCCCTTATAAACCTGTAAAATTAACTGGTTGAAAGTAAAAACTTTCTCTTGGCACCAAATCAGGGATGGTTAAAAAAAAAAAAAAAGAAAGTTTGTTTATAAATATTTGATACATATAACCATTTTACTGCCTCCTTTAAACTGCTTTGTTGCAGAAGCACAGCATGCAATTCTGAGCAGCCTGTGGCCCTATTTTCCACGGGTGCAGAAATTCCTCCTGAAGTCTGGCAGTTTCCCACCCCATCACCATCTGTGCACCCTCCTGTTACTGAGTCAACCTCTGTTATATTTAACAGTTTTCTGTGGTTCAGTATTTCTAATCCTAAATAAAACTCAACTCTTGGCAACTCTTGAGAGACTGTGTATGTACAATGGGAGTTTGGAGGACAGAAATATTCTGTTTCCAGGCTTTGAGCCAGAGGTGCTGAGCAGCCACCCCAGCACGGAGATGGGACTGGCACAGGAGAGGGACAGGTCTGAGCACACTGGCAGCAGCTGCTGCTCAGCACCAACTCTCCAAAAAGCACCAGATGTTTTATACAGCACTTCCCATTTCTTCTCCCCTACTTATTGCCTGCCTTCTCAAAACACATACAATATATGTTAAAAGTTTGATTTACTGCTTGGACACTGTCTCTAGGAGAGAACAGCAGCATTATCTTGATTGAGCCCAGCCCAAGTTAAACCTCCTAAAATAGCAGGTTTTGTAGAACGTTGAACTGGATATGGCAAGAAAAGGAGCAGCATCCCAGACATTTATTTGGCTGCTGGGTAACAATATTTCAGAACTACATGTTTAAGACAGTAAGTTTATTGCAGTTTGTCCAAAGACCTGGCCTGTTCTCACTTGCTTCGGCAGTGCACGTGACCTATTTTGTAACTGGTACCTTTGATGGCTGTCCTTGCTGCTGTGGTCAGCTGGAGGACAGGTGGCATCACTGGCTCTCTCTGTCATTGTGCCAGTTGATGACTTTCATCCTTTAAAGAGGAAGAAAAACTGTTGCCATGGTTTTGTAAAGATCAGCTGAGTTATCAGATTATTTCCTTCTACACAGCACACACTGAGTATGCCTGGGAACTCTCCAACCCTCCTTAGAGAGAACACCCCCCCCTGCTGCCACAATGGATTTGAAATGAGGAAAACAAACCTTCCCCTGCCATTGCTACTGTGCCTCAAGAACTGGGCTTAGTATAGATCCAGACTGTGTTCTTGGTGAAAACCACGTTCAAACACTCTTGGGCTTAAATGCAGTAGGAGTGAGTTACCAGAACTAGAATGTGCTCCTCTAGAGCAGCCCCCCAGCAGCACATCAGTAACACGTTCTGGTAACTTCCTGCTGGTCAAAGTGGCCTCCAAACCTCCTCACACCTTCCAGCAGTCTCTGCACGTCTTCTGGAAGAATGGATCGTACTCAGCTGGGTCATAATGATCCAAAAACACATAGCCCTGTGGGAGAAGCAGGCACTGGATCAGGTCTCAGAAGCTATTGGTGGTTCCAACAGTGAGAGCAGCCAGCCTGGGTGGGACAGAGCCAGGCATAGCATAACACAGCACCAGAGGTGGCTGAAAAAGAATTCCCAAACTTTCATACACCTCAGAAAGAAAGTGACTGAACTGTAAGAGGAAAATTCCTCCATCCATTTTACTTTATCACAGGCATAAATACATAATAAATTATTTCATGAAGCATCCAGAAATAATTACAGGCTAAATGCTAACCTTAACTAGGACAGTCAAGACAATGGAAATTTTTTTTCCTGGAAAATGTTTTTTCAGAGGAAAGAAGTCCTGAGATCAGCTCAGTTGGTCAGAGCATGGTGCTAATAATACCAGGGTCATGGGTTTGATCCCAGAATGGGCCACTCACTTAAGAGCTGGACTTGATGATCCTTCTGGGTCTCTTCCAACTCAAAATATTTTGCGATTTCAGCAAAACAATATTAAAAAGAAAAGCAAAAACAGGAGTAAGTGAGTCCTCGCTAGCCACAGCCTTAGGCAGGTCACTGGTCTGCAAGATGCCAGCTCCAAGTCTGGGTTCGTGAGCTGGCTTTTCCATCGATACATTGGAATAAAGACCTGAACCCACACCTCATGGTTCAGGCCACAGCTCCATCTCATCAACAAGACTGCCACAGGTGAAGGAGAAGCCAGATAGCAGGGAAGAGAGAAAAAGAGAACGGGCAAAAAGAATGAAGGGAAGGGAAAACACATCCAGAATAAACCACATTAACTAACCCACACAAGTGTCTCAAGTTCTGCAAAATTTATCATATCACAGTTAATGCATACTTATGCAAATAAGTTGTCCTGTAAAAATGAAGGGCCTCAGCCTGCTTTTCAGATGTGCTGCTGACAGGCCTGACACCACAGAGCAGAGACAAGGTAGAAGCTGATCACTGGTGCTGGTGCTCCCCTTCAGGCAGAAGGACACATCCTAGTACATCAGCCTTTGCTTCTGGAGGCCACCCAGTGAATTCCTGACCTGGCACAGCAGCTTGTGAGATGGACTGACGCAGACCCAGATATGTACAGTACACCCAACACAGCCTAAACCACAGAACTTCAGCAGTAGGACTGGTTCAGTTCTTTTGTCATTCCATGAAGTTTTAAATGCATGGGTATGTAATATCAGGCCTTTGAAAAAGACAGTTTGGTCTCTTGAAAACAACACAGCTCCCATGATATTTTCATTTCTGGATGAGTAGCTTGTTTACAGTCTCACAACTCCACTGTGCAGTGGTTACCACTGACAACTGCCTGCTCTCATAAAGTATTATATTTGTGGCAGATTATATATCTGCTTTTATTTTTTCTCTTTTTTCTCATTCCTGAGATACACAAAGTTTAGTTGTGGGATCTGATATCCAAGAGTGGTATGAAATTAAGAGCAAAATGAAGAAAGCTAACAAGTATTTTCTACAGTGACTGCAAGTTTTGTGAACAAACACATGGAACTACAAAATCCATGAGTTGGGTCCATTACCTGCATGCAGACTTAATAAAATCCTTTGTATCTCCCTTATTTTTTCTTTTATGAAGCTTGATCAGTAGCATCGAATGCCACAAAATCGTTTCACTCATGCTCAGCCAACAGAGTGCAGCACTGCTGCAGATGAACTCCTGAGATGTGAGTGAAGTCCACACCCTGCTCACTCATCCTGTGGTTTCAGCTGACGGAGCTCAAATTTTCCCTCTAAATGGTCCAGCCCACAGGGGAAACACACCTCAATAGGGTGTCTCATCATATTCAGACTCCAGCACGTGTTCACTGCAGCAAGCAGTGCTGCTGTTGATAGCTGCTGGTGAACGTATACAGTTCTAACACCACCATTACAGCAGTCCTAGGGAAAAGTCAGCTACAGGCAAGGTATAGCTGAACTCCAGGTTACTCAGTAGACAGGAAATAACAGCTAAACCCCTGATCTTGACCACGACCCTCTGTATTCAACCCTCTCCACAAGAGAAATTTGCTTCTCATTGATACCTTCTTTGCACAGTAGTTCAAATACTGAGAGAATTGTTCTCGTCTCCTTTTCTGCACTTCTTCCTCTGACTGGCTGTGCATTTGGTCCTTCATTTTCTGCATAAATGGCTCTGAAACATCCTCAAGGTATTTTTTGTACAGAAGCTCTGTCTTTCTCAGATCTAGGAAATCACAGTGCCTCAAATATCTGTCCACCTCCTTAAGTAAGAAATGGAAAATAAAAACCATATAAACTATTGGCCGATGACAGTAAAGATTCCACAGGTGAGGGTTTGCAGCTTGGCTGACCTGGTTGCTCACTGCTCCAAGGCACCTGTTTCCCAGCCCTTCCTTCTTCTGCTCCTCCCTCTCTCCACTTCCCACCACTTGTTTCCCAGCCTGCCCTTTCAAGAGCTTCAGCATTCAGACCCTCAATTTTTGAAGCCATGCTGCAAGATTGGCAGAAAATGACTCACTTTTTCCCATCAGGTTACTGAGCTGAAATCACTGCATAGCAGTGGCTGCAAGCACCAGACTGTGCAAGACAGGCAGCAGAAGGACCTTCCCTGCAGCACTGGCAATCTGCTGATCAGATCAGAGCAGCCCTCCTGCCTTTTGCTCACAACACCACTGTCACAAATTACCACACCCACAGAACAAATATAAGGTGCAAACAGGCAGTTCAAGTCACCTGGGATTCACATTTAGGGTTACTACTTCACTCTATCCAGAGGAGACTAAAAAGATCAGAAGCTCATAACACTAAATTAGTTTTTCAAGAATACAGGCAATTAACATTTTCTCATGAATCACTGTTAAGGAACTAAAAATACTGACATGCAGGAAAGCACACAGCAAATGAGAAAAGAGGTACCACTTCTTACCCTCACAAAATTTTCTCTGTCCAAGAGGCACTGAACAGAAGCAATGATGTCTTGGCTTTGATCAGGTGCTGCCTAACAAAACATGAAAAAAGCCCACATGAGGTGAAAGCAGGACTTAGAGTAGATTTACTTTTGAATTCAAAATAATTACTGGTGTCATGATTAAAGGCATATTATATCACAACCCAGCTGGCAAATCCTTTTAAGATTTGCTCTGAACAGTTGGGTTAAGTAACACAAAAGAGTGTTGGAAGAACTGGAATGAGAACTGGAATGTACATGCTCAGACCTCCTTGGCTGCTCCTCACCATAACCAAACACCACTTCTTCCTTGCCATTGTTTCCCACCTGTGCCAAACATGTGGCTCCTTAACTCCTGCACTCCACAACAGGAGTACAGGCAATGCAGACCAAATCTATCACATGGGGATGGAATGCATTTTATGCATAGCATGGAACATTAGCCTGCTATGCCCTGTGCTTAATACTGATTTTTAATTCCAACTGACAGTGTAGCTCTCAGTCATGTCTGCCTTGGCCCTGCTGACCAGCTCCATCCTCCTAAAGGTTTATTACGCTGAGATGGGCAGGACATCATACATCAGAGCAAGCAAGAAAGAGACAATAAGTATTAAAAATTCCACCAGAAACAAATGAGAAAATCTAAATTTCTGGCATGTTTCAAGACCCTTTTATCCTACTATTTGACAGCTGGTATATTGTATTATGCCTGATGAATTTACTTCACATAGTCACAGATCTTTTCTAAAGCCAGCACTGTAACAGCAGCAGAGACATGGCCATCACTCCAGGTAAGAACCATCACCGCTGAACAGGTGAAGAGTTTTCCTTCAGGATGATACATATTTTGAAGAATCCTTAAGAACTGAAGGAGTTGGGCCTCCTCTGACTGAGGGAATGAAGTCTCTTCTCTCCCTGGAAAAGAGCAGGCCCAGGGGCAGTCTCATCACAGTCCTACTTACAGGGCAGCTACAATGAGGATGGAGGCTCTCACTTCACCAGAAGCCACAGCAAGATGAGGGGTAAGAGATACAAGTTGCACTGGCAGAGGCTTCATCTCAATGTAAGAAAGATATTTTTACAGTGAGATCAATCATTCACTGCACAACCTCCCCAGGGATGTGGTGGAGCCCCCATCACTGAAGGCTTTCAAGGTGCAACTGGACAAGGAGCTGGATACTCTCATCTGGTGTCTCTTTCCCATAAAAGGCTGGGACAGACGATCTTCTAAGGTCCCTTCTATGGGCTGTTCCATGACTCTGATTCTAGCTAGTCACAAGCTTGTTTCAGGTTTTGTGGGAAACCTTTCTACACACCAAACTGCAAGTAATTCAATAAAGCTGCCTCAAAAGGATGCAAGAGCTCAATAAAACCCATTGAATCTGTTGCTATTTTCAAAATTCTTTGTTCTCCTTCTCCATGACAAACATTTCTCAGATTTTACTGAACTTTGCAAATAATTTTTTATTCTACCCTTCATAACTTCCATTTCATTTCTCCACTCACACTTTCACACAACAGAAGCCTTTCCTTCTGTGTTAGCCGATCTTTGGCAATATTTTCCTTCCCAAAATGTCTGCTGCAAGCAAAATTATTGGCTGTGCCAGTCTGCTGATGCTGAGAAGAACCTCTGGATAAATGTAAAGCAAGGAAAAGGTCTGCATAAAAAGACAACCTGATTTACAAAGATCAGGTTCTCATCCAGGTTCCACAACCAAGCCACAAAGTGGGATGGAATGGTAATACAGCTGCAATACCCATTTCTGCGTGTGCTGTAGAGGGACAGACTGAAACACAAAGCTCCTGCTCAGGGCTCACAGATTAGTCCAGGCACATGCCAGGGATGGAAGTCTGGGGGCACAGAGCAGAAAACACTGTCAGTGTTTCAGTGGGATTGGGTGGCCAGTTCCAATACAGGACCCAATTACACACCTGGGATCCCAGTTACAGATACTGCTCTCCTGTGTTCTTCACCATAGAACCCAGAGCTGAAGGAATGCTGGGGGTCACTCACCTTCCAAGGCTGTTGCCGTTTGGGTTTTCTCAAAGGCTTCCCATTTGCAAATCTTTGTAGCCAGGGACCCTCTGAGCTATTCACACTATCCATGGTTGGATTAGTCTGGAAAAAACAGTAACACTGTCAAAACCATATAAAACTATTGCATTAACAGCAAAAACTAAATTTTCTTACAATTCCTACTAATCAATGAAACAGATCTCTAAAGGACTTGTAACTGCTGATACCTGCAGCATTTTCCTGTCACAGTAAGTAAAACAGGGAGATGAAGTATCAGGTTTGCAGTCAGATACTGCCTCTGGTTGGGACTATTTGTTCTCATCTCCACACACCATGGACAGTACATTTTGTTTCAAAGAACAGTGATTGACAAATTATTTGAAAATGCCTGTCAGCTTTGGAAATATTTCAGAGTTACCCAATTTCACCTCTAAACTATTACTTCTTTCCTTTGCACCTTTTTCAATCACATAAAGTCCCTTTCAAGTAACTGCCACATCCCACGTCCCACAGGGACAACTACATTTTATTGGTTTTTAAAGTTAGTTCTACCAGATGAAGCTAATGCTGAAGTGCTAACTCAGCCTCTTCCTCAGAAAATTCTATCTTCTCTCTTGTATGTGCATTAGGATATCTGGATTGATTTATAACAGAGACAGTGGAACCACACAGGCAAAATGCCATTTACAGGAACTTCCATTTAAAACCCTATTTATTTCAGATTCACTGGAGACACACTGCTTCCAGGAAACAATGGATTCCTAACATTACTTAGATAAAGAATGGAACAAAAGAGAAGTTTATTTCTGCAGAGATACTGACCTCAAGTCTCCAGACAGATCTTTCAGTTATAACAAACAAACAAACAAAAAAATAAAATTAAAAAAAAATGTGATATTCAATTATTTTTGCACTATCTAGTTAAAAGAATCTGCAAAGACTCTTGAAGATAATTTTCTTTTTTTGGTAGATGACAACTCTTAAGAGTTTATTCTGTCCCATCCAGCACTTTAGTGACAATATCTGACTGCCAACTTACCTCTCTGGAGTGCAGATTCAAATTTCTTACCATCAATTCAAGGTAAAGTCTTTAATCTGTATCTTTATTTGGCTCATTTTATATTCCCTGCTCTTGTACACTGACAAAAAACTTCTGCTGGGATAATTCCTGCATCCTCACAGCAATGCTTTCCTGTCTTTTCTGACTGAAAAAGTCAGAAACCACAGGAACGCATATGTTGGAAGGGACTTCAGGAAGTCACCTGGTCTTGTTGCCTTTTCCCCAATCTGGAAATGAAACTTAAGATAATTTTAGTAAGGAGATAATATAAATGGGGATCTTTATTTGAAGGCCTTCAGAGGCAGTTATGGAAAGATGTCCACAAAAGCCCACACCCCCCAGGGGTGAGTACATTTTCATAGGTTTTAGTAAATTAGCATAATTGATAAAAAGCACCAATTAGAAGGACAAGTGGTGATGCAATTTCCCCCCAGGTCAAGCCCCTTCTCTGGAGCCCCCCTTTCAGTTTAGTTGTACTTTGTCCATGAAATGTATTTCATGGTGTAGGGCAGCCTTGTAACCCCCTCTATCTGCTTAGGGAAAGGCTATGGGAAAGTACTGGAAAAACTAGTCACTAATATAATAGGTGACAGAGTTACAAATATATGTGTGAAGAATACAGAGAACATATAAAAGAAAAAAAAAATGGCAAAATGCAAACGGCATCAGTCCCAGTGCCAGCTTAAGAAAAGCAAACCTCATAGACCCAATTTCTGATATGAAATTAACAGGCAAACAGCAAGGGCTGAAGAGGTTTGGGTCCCTGAGGTGCTATAGATTTGGCATTAGACAAATCAAACACACCTTCCTATGAGTCATACATCATCCCTACACACACAGGTGCCACAGGCTGCTGTGGCATGCCACCATTTACAGATTTCCTTCAACTCCAAGCTGCTTTGTTCTTCTGAGACAGGAATGCCGTAAATCCCCGGACAAGCTTAAGATGAGGAAAATATCTATTTTAATATTTCTAAGCTTGTAAAACAAGTAAAACAACTAAAACCCCAACAATTACCCATCTTTCTATCTATTTTAGAAGATAGTATTAAGATTCCATGCACCTCACAAAGAAAGACTGAGCACAAAGCAGAGGAGGTGTTTGACCTCCTCAGAGAACTGGGACCCCAGGGGAGGTAAAACAGAGAAAACATAGAAAATCTGCCTCTGCAGCTATCTGCCTTCAGGAACCTACAAGTAGTAAAGACTATAGATGTAGAGTCCACACCCACCCACCCCCATCCTCCATAACTCAAGCTGCTACTGAATCTTAATCCTTTTATTTTTCTGCTTTTTTTTGACTCTTGCTAGGAGATGCCAACCCTCTTCTCTGCAAAGGCAGGGCTCACTGATATGAGAGAGCAGCTGCTTGGCAGGTCTTGAATCTACAGGAGTAATAAAATAAATGAAAATAAATGAAATAAAGGATTTTCAGAATATGTATGGGTAAAAGTGTCCAAGGCCAGGTTGGATGGGGCTTGGAGCAACCTGGTCTACGGGAAGGTGTCCATGCCAGTGGCAGGAAGTTGGAACAAGATGATCTTTAAGGTCCCTTCCAACCCAAACCATTCTGTGATGATTAAACTTGAGAACAACTATGCCTAAAAATCCTTGCTAGAAAAACATGCATCCTTCTCTGCTGTCAGCAGTACAGCTCTGTATAAGTTTTAAACACAGGTTTCTCTTCTTTCCTCAGTAAAACAAGGTTCTTCCCCAAACACCCACCTGCTAAAATTCACACTTTCTGTGCCCAAACACGAGGCTTTGCAGCAGCTTTGAGGAAATACATTTTAATCACTCTGTGACAAATATAAGCTCCCTCACACATGCATCAGTCCTCTCAAAATCTTGTTCAGCCATGTAGGCTCCCGTGTCACCCTGCACAAGCACAGCGGGCTGCCTTTACTGCTGCCTTGGCCGCCTCCCATTGCCTCAAGTGCAGGGACAGAAGAGAACCGTAGGAGCAGGACAGCTATGTGAACAGAACCTTTTACACTGTAAATGCTGAGCTAACAGGCAACGCGTACATGCCCAGAGGGTCCTGCCCTGGCTCTGCAATTAGGAGGCAGCGATGAGATAAAGGCCGGCGAAAGGGAAAGGCCGAGCCCCCTCTGGGTCCGGCTTGCCCCGCACCCTGCCCTGTCCTGAGGCGGGTCCCGCAGGCGGCAGGGAAGAGGAGGCGGGGATCAAAGATCCGTATCTACCCCCGTGCCTGGGTCATCACCGAGGACGGTGAACACAGCCCCAGGAGACGCTAGAGGCGGCGGGATAGGGCTGCAATAGAAGCGAAAAGCCACCCCGCACGGTCCCGCCCGCCTGAGAGGAAAATGGCGGCGCGGCGCACCTTGGTCATCTGTCACAGCATTCGCACCGCCCCTCCGTGACCTTCCGCCGAAAAAAAAATAGTCCCTCACCCACCACCCACAGCCTCTAAGGATGAGAAGATGCCTCCCGTAGGGACAGGACCCAGCTACCGTGGGGACAGGGACACAGAAACCCGTGGGAACAACGTCACGGCAGCCCCGATCTGGTCCCGAAACGGACGAGGCGG